TTTACTTATTATTCATCCTAACTACCCCAAAAGAGTTTGTTCTTTCTCCCTTTACACATAAAAGAAACATTTTATTACATTAATATGTATTGTTATTTTACAGTGCATTAGAAAAATTGAATTATATTTAATTATTTGTTGTGTTGAAGAAGACTGTTTAATAATAAATACGTTCAACTATATAACTTGTTTCTATTGTACTTTTATACTTGGAATACTTTTATTAACGTTTTGTTATCTCTTAGTATGTATGTATATATGTACATGCACTAGGTTTGTAGATTTTACGAAAATTATACTTAATAAATCTTTTACTTTAATTACGTAAGATAGGAAACTTACCTTTGCAAGTCCGGTAACGCTTCGTAAAAAAAAAGAGAAATAAAGTATAGGTTCTGTTTTTTTTCTTTAATTTGTAACATCAGATGAATTTTTCTTGGCATTTAATTGACGAGGGCTTAAAATAACTTTAAAATATTTATCGTACGTATAGGAATATTGAACGGCATATGGTAAAGAGTTATCTTTTATTCATTATTTGTATAAAAATTAACTGCAATTCTGTTATCGAATTCCTACGAACATGGTATAAAAACAGATTTATAATAATACTTGTAACTACAACTGTGAATACCTTTTCCAAGAAAGTTAAATATAAGGTCAAAATGTATCTTTCATGCGTCATTTATTAGTCACGATTTAAACATTCATATGTACATGCTTATTGCGTAATGATCAAATAAAAAGATTCGTAGTTTTATAAAGTACGCACTAAGCAAGCTATTACGCTCATTAACAGAGTAACGCATGAAATAATTACTGTTAAAATATGAGACCTTATAAAAAATTCAAGAATGCACACTGGTAGAAGTCAGCGTGATTCACTTACTTCACCTTAATAATTTCATAATGAAATATGTAAAGAATTTTTTTTATTCAATTAATTTGAGTATTCAAACTTCTGTACGTGTATTACAAATTATTTTTATTTTTACATCGCAAAATAAGACGCAGAAAGGAAAGCATCCTTTTACATTCGTTGGGTGTAACACAACAGTTACCCCTGTCGGCGTTGCCACGTTTTGTAATTTCTATGAAATGAAATTTCTTTTAAATAAATACGACTGCTTCTACATACATTTATATTGCATCGTTTTTATTTTACATCTACATTTGCAAAAGAAAGTTATTTATTAAAAATGAATGAATTATAATTATGTATAGATTTAATATAATATACAATTTTTTTTTGTACAATTTTTCTAAAATTGATAATCGACGATATTTTACAATTTGTACAAATTATTACGATTTTAAAAATTGTATTTCGTAAATATTACGTTTAATTTGTATATTACGTTTGAGTAACGTTACGAACTTTTGTTCGTTACAACTATAAAACTAAACTGATTTTACGAATTCCGAATACGTAAATAACATATTTACTTTTCGTTCTCGGTAGTATATGAAAATAGCTGTGATATAACGTAAAAATGATAAAATTCGAGAAAATACGATGGAAATGTATATATGAAGAGCTATAACATTGATCGAAACATCGAGAAGAGACTTGGCAACGTCGAGAATTGTCCGCAACGAAAGAGTATATGACGTTGAACGAGACGGCACGCGATTGGTGAAGAGTTGACCGTACAACACATTCATACGCCACGAGTAATTTTATAAAAGTGAAGATTTTTAATACGCCAGATGAAATATACATAAAATTTCCTATGAAAATTATCGCGTGTACGGTGAGAAATAAAATGTACAAAAGTATTTTGTAAAAACGTTGCAAAATTAAGCGTAATGTAAGATTTTGCAAGGAACTATTTTCTATTGATCGCGCGTAAGGACACTACATAACGCTTAGCTTGTGAGTATATAAAGCAGCCTCAAGGGGTGGAACCTTGGTATTTCCTGAGTCATCCTCAAGCGGAGAAGGCTGTATCTTGCTCGCTGATTCGAAGTTATTACTTTATAGTTATCGTGGGATATCCTTCCATTGTTCAAGAAACACGAGCCAGATACAGGTTGGTGTAGTACCTATCTTACTTATTCAATAATTAGGTGAAAAAGTTAGAAAAACTGTGTAAAAAGAGTGTGTAAAAACTGACTCTTCGATTGGTCAATACTTCGTACTAGCCAGTTTCTCAAGAAAAGTAGAAAGTTTCGGCTGATATCGCGCCAACGTTGGAAAGAAGACATCATTGGAAACTACGCACGAGTCATGGTGGCCACGAGCAGACCTCGAGAAATCGACATCGACAAACCAAGTCATACCGAACAATTGGCTAATTGGATTAGTAGAGTTCGGTGTAAAAAATTAATGTGTCGTCGAAATCGCAAACGTGATTTGCGCGTCGAAGCAGTGCTGACATGTGCTTTGTTCAAAGCTGAACACGAACTGCGCAGCAAACAACTGTCCAGAATTTCCAAGTGGCAGCAATTTAAAAAGCAATTTTTAAAGGATACAGATTACCCGTGTTACGAATTCTACAATGACGAAGAACTAAGGAATTCGAAGTTACGTCAAGAAAAAAATGACCCGTGGCAAGGCCCGTTGTGTCCTGAATTGAGCAGCTTGGATCATTTCATGTCTAAATTGGGAGAAATCAAAGTGCCGTTGCAGCGGTGAAGGAATAGAAAGGATAGCGACCAGGTCTGAAAAACCTAGGAGCGCGTTGTGAATCCAGCTTGAAAAAGAGAGGACAACGGTTGGCAGTATTTAGTCAACGAAGCATTGACCTAAGCAGAGCGGCTAAACGGAATCCCGAATGATAATGCAGCAGTACCGGCCGTGTATCGTAGTACACAGTATATCGGTGCTGCGGGACTAGATGTCGCATCACTATCCTGGTGTATATTTGGATATTTTTTACTTGCAGTCTCACCGTTTGAGATGGCAATGGGACGGGCGGAGGGAGTTGCTGTTTGCAGCGATGCTGGGCGTACCGCAGAATCAGGGACCCCATGTTCTCTAGTCTCTCTACGTCTTTCATTGGTTTGGTTTGTAAACTGTATCGGAACCAATGCATTTCTCTTTGCAATTTCGTGTAATCATATATAGAGTTCGAGTTATTGGTAAAATCGTTCAAACAGCGTGTTTCATTCGATACTTTTATTTTTTCTTTTTTTCAGAAAATATATGGCAGTTTATGCATAGAACATTGCGTATTTGTATAATGTAATTTAAAGAAAATCTTGTATACTGCATTTTTTAACCAATAGATACTTAATATGGTGTAGCGTCATGAGATATCAAGGATTTTTATACGTAGATTTTGTACATGTTGTTTAATGTTAATTCAAAGTTTTGTAAATATTGTGATACAGCAGAGAACGGCAGCGGAAGGAATGAAAAAGAATAAATGTTGGAAAAAGACCATTGACAATTTTTTCTATGTTCATTTTAATTCACGCCGTATTAATGCCAAAAATCCTTTTCAGTCCGGCAATACACCTAACAAAATTCTATCGCACGCAAGAGACCTGCGCGCACACGTGTCCAGGCTGTGCTGGTCGGCGACGCGACGCCACGCCACGCCACGCTACGCTATTCGGCCCTCTGTCTCTCTGTATGAAATAAGGAGTGGTGAGAGGAATTGGTATTGGGATGAACAAAGGAGGGGGGCGCACTCTTTGTTTCTAGAAATTCGCGCTGAAGTTTCGTGGCTGAATCACACACACACGATCAAGTGGTCGTCACGTCCGTACATAACATCTCACGTTCGCGCTCTTCTGTATCTTGATCATCCGAGCATCCGCTAGTTCCAAAACCCGTCGTCTGGCGCGTGATACACATAGGCTTACTGTGACAAACTGCAGCAAAACTCGAGCAAGTCCTGTTTGGTGAGCTAATCCCTTTTCTCCGTTACCTGCGCAAATGTATTTTCTCAGGTCCAGAAAGGTTTTTCCAATCTTCATACTGCCAACTTGCACATGGGTTGCTCTGGCTTATTCACGCGTACCATTCGAAGTCGACTAAGCTGGACACCCAAACAAACAGCTCTGCACACATTGCCCCATTTCAATTAGGATAAAGAGCCTCGAGGTATGGAGTTACTCACGAATGCATGTCTCTTGAACCTAGATGATCCGGAAAGCCAAGAATTACAGCAAGTAACAACCTAATTTCTATATGGGCATGTTATACATGTTATCAAAGGCTCGCAATTTGAGTAGGAAATTGCCATGAAAATTTTTTAACGAGCGTTATATCAAGATACGTCTTTTAAGCATTATCATGCTATTCGATACTTATATTTCCACAGATTTCATATTCCTTAATTATTTATTTGGTGCTAGAGCAAGAAGATCTTCGTAATATGTATATTATTAGATTAATAAATAAAACAATTCCCGACGAGGTGCGCAGAAGAGTTTCGAGAGTAAAGAATAAACGAAAAAAAAAAAGAAGGGAAAAAAGCAAACACGAGAAACTGCAAATATGTACATCCGATTGAAAATGGTCAATTAGAAAATATGAAAGATATTTTAACGATGATAGGAAAAATGGCGACACACGGAAGATAAGCTCTGATATCTTTTAAATTGAATTTATACATATATATCATGTAGATAATATTTCCGATATCCTTATGATTGTGAAATTATGCATAATGTTTTTCAATTCCAAGGGAATTCATCATCAATGATATAATGAGTCCTCTCACGGTAATCTTGGAATACAGGTTGGAAATTTGCTTCTCATTAATCATGCAGTTATATAATTAAGGGAGCTGAAGGTTTTTAACTTAAAAAAAAAAAGTTGGTTGGTTCGAAGGGCACTTGCTCTGTCCTATGCGTGTGGTTAAAGCGTGGTATCAAATATGATTTTATAAATATTGTTTTAAATATTATTTTGTTGAGATGTTCTGTGCGGGTGTCTGTTTTGCACTGCAGGAGTACCCGAAAGAAATCGTATTCGTGGTGTGTACAACTAAACAACTGCAGGCAATCGTTTCTGTTCCTGGTCACACGCGTCGCATTCGCATTACAAAGAGGCTCATGGTATGTTTAAATTAGAGTGATACAGCGGTGGGACGAAGGAGGCGGGGGAGGGTGAATAATTATGTTTCAGCTAGGCTTGGCTAGAGAACGCATTTACCCCGACTGTGTGCGCTTCAAGTACGTACATTACGGCAAGTCGTAACTGGATTGTGCTATGTATGTAGTCGCTATTGAGAATGTTTCTCGTAAGAACGATTAAAAGAGTAAAGATTTTTAAAGAGAGAGGGGAGAGAGATGTGGAAGAAGGTAACAATTTAATTCGATGTTACAAATATAATGGGGAAAGACGCGGGGGAAGCGGGTATGCAATTTTGTGTTACAAGCCTACTACAGGGTTGGTGCGCTGTCGCTATCTTTTCTCTCACAAAAGGAGGACGCAGGCTATATTCGTTTCATGTTCAGTAATGGAAAATCATTCTACAATTTCAGTCATTTGAAGTAAGCGCAACTATATTGTTATCGATAAGCATGATACAATGTAAGCTTGCATTTCATTTGGCTGTTAAAGGAGAATTCCAAGATACTTGTTTAACGGTGGAAGAGAAAGAGAGGGGATCTGTACGAAGGGACGAAGAGAAGAGCAGAGATTGTACATAGATCGTTTTAAATTACCATTATAGTTTTACTTTTTATGTTTTATACTCTCACGGTATATGTAGTTATTATATTTTCAAATTAAATTTGTCCTTGGTCTTTCCGTAATTCAGCAAATGTGTAGGAAGTATATACGGAGAAATGTAGGTGGGGTGTGAAGGAATTTTCGGACTTCCACAGAGGGAAAAAAAGAAAGGAAAAAATCGAGTTTGGAGGATGTACACATGGTTCAAGTTATTTTAATATACGATCAAATTGAAGCATGATGGTGATGAGCATGGTACCCGTAAATTCTAAAATACGTGTTATACCGAATTACCAAATTATAGGACTTCACTCGGATGTTTAAACACATGTTTGTTTTGGGTATTTTTCGGCGGTCTCTCTGATTTTTGCTTCAGGAAACTCAAGAAAATTCATTCCTGAGGTATGAATTTTTTAATGAAACGACGCTGTTCTATGGGCAAGCCTGTGCTGTGAAGTGCATCTAACGGTCATGTATGTATTGCTTAAATGTCATTACATGTATCGCGCATTATTTAGAAAAAAGAAGTTGCACATGTTAGTAAAATTCCTTCGAAAAACCTTCTATACAATTTGATAACGATTGCATTTGCAAGAAAAGTTTTACCTGATTTGAAATGGGAATACGTAATAAATCATGACAAATTGTTAATTCGATCTTGCTAGAAAAGCATAACACATTGACGAGAGAGAAAGAGAGAGAGAACACGAAGACCACCGTCATATCAGGTAATAATTGCAAACTGTCACGAACGTGTAATATTGAAATTAGAGATATTTTCCAAATTTGATCACTTAACAAACAACGGTATAAATATTTTACAGATTCGTTGTCCACGTAAAATTCTCCGTCTTGTCGATTGATCTAAGTATGTTTAAGAAAAGAAAACCCGACTTGTGACGAGTGCTTTGTGCAAAATTATTTGAAACAAATATAAGTACGGTAATAGATTTGAACGTGACTTTTTCAGTCGTAAAAGTATCGAAATGTTTAATTACGAAAAACAGGCTGTGTTGTTTCATTTTTTAAATTTTAACTCTGTTTATTTTTCTGAGTGAATAAACTTTTAAAGTAATATTGCAACGTATTTTGCTACTTGCTAATATGCTTTTAATTGTTTGTGATTAAGTAAGTGATTAAGTAATTGTGAATATGTCAAGATTGTGTAGTAGCAGTGCAAATTTTCATAATGGATGCAGCATAAAATGATCGAAAAGATGCTTCGTACAAAATATTTAAAAATATGTCTGATAATTTAAAATAATATATATACTCGTAACCAAACGTTGATTGCAGTAAGATTTTGGTGAGTGTGAATAATCTGTCTTCACTTTTCTAAAATGACGAACAACTTTATCAGAAGTGGTTGGGACAATAAGTATTGATTGGTGATGTTTTATGGTAGTGTTCAAGTGCTTTCTATTACGCTTTAATGGCTTATATCTTTTGTTACTAATTATTTGTTCAAATATCTCGAATGTTTCATACCTTCTGTTCATGCAGTTTGTCGTATGGCTATCTGGTTATGTATAATTTTAAATAAATAGCATGGGAGGGTTACGAATGAAGGGGGAGGGGGGTCACCACTAACTTTGTATTAGATAGGTACGTTCCAGAAAATAATACTAAGTCCATCCAGAGAAAGAAATTTTCGAAACGAAGGGGAAAAAGAATGGAGAGAGTACTGTTATACCGGTTATATGACGAATAGGTAAATGAAAAGGTAACGCAGTCACCGATTCAAGCGAGTAGAATGTTCAAGGAAGCTGTATAAAACCAAAGTTCATTTGAGGAATGCGATAGCGGGTAGAGAAGGTTCTACTTTAACTGAACAGGAATTTCATTGAAAAATGGGTTTTATCTAAAATTCTTATAGATGTGAGTTCCAACTTTTCTTGTATATATCCTACAAAATGTAACCAAATGTTGTAGAATCCCATTCCACGAGTTCATTCATGCAAGAAAAGTTATTCAGTTCGGGAGATGCAAATGAGTATAATCAGTGATATGTCGTGTAACATCTAATCGTTCCATGAGAATTTGGTATGCTGACTTGTGATTTTATGAGTCATTGGATAACTGAAGTATTAATAATGAGAATTTCCAAACGAATAATGGTTCTTCGTATCTTCTGATAAAGAGGAGAAAAATTATATCCCATTTTCCGTGGAGGCGCATGGCTTCGAAGTTGATAGTATATTAAAAATTCCTCGGAGTTGCAATTGTTTACGCGCTCTATGACATTATGACGAGTTGCTGTTGTATGTAAAAAAAAAAAAAAATCGAGCGAACAGCTGTGGATTTTGAATGAAGGCTTCAACAGATGCTGAGACAGCAGGAAATCGAGCGATGCAGAGTTCCAGCAATAATGTCTTCGTTTTATTTTATTAAAAAAGTAAGAATCGACGTTTTTTTTTTTTAAGTTATTAGATTAGAGAATTAAACTAGTAACGAATGTTTTCATTTTCAGATTTAGCTATTAAATGACGCACTTCGATATACATATATGGCAATCTAAAAAAATGTAAATATCCTGTATAGAAAGATTATGAAATTCGAAACATCTTCCGTATAACAAAAGAGAGAAGTAGAAGTAGCTATTATTTACACTGTTAGTATTGTTTAAAATGTTAAAACGAGCATTATTTAAACGAATTTATAAAATAGTCTTTCCATATATATAAATAGTAATAGGATGGGCGGAATTGAAAATACTACAAACGAAAAAATGTTTAAAACACCGTATAAGAAAGGGAATTGAAACAAACTTCCATAATATGATGTATCTTCTCACTTTTATCCGAGAAACGAAGTTGTGTTCGAAAAAGAATATCGATTGTACCTGACATATATAAAAAAGAGTCAGTATCCGTTCATGATTTGTATAATACTATGAAAATATCATAGAGGAAGATGGACGGGCTTTATCTAGCACATCAGGAAGATCTTGAAGACAACTTAATATTTCGGGAACCATAGAACAAATCTTTGTAACGGATTGTTGTATGTAATATCTGCCATCTACTCGGGATTTTTTCGGATTCAGAAGAGGAGGCGGCTATCATCGTGGGACTTCGAGGGATGCAGCAGACGCCACCAACGCGGAACTTCGTCGATGCAGAAGAGGCTATCAACGTGGATCATCATGGACGCAGAAGAGGCTACCAATGTGGGGCTCCGTGGATGCAGAAGAGGCTAACAACATGGGACTTTGTCAACGCAGAAGAGGCTATCAACGTGGAACTTCGTGGATGCAGAAGAGGAAGAAGAGGCTACCAACGTGGGACTTTGTCAACGCAGAAGAGGCTACCAACGTGGGACTTCATCAACGCAGAAGAGGCTACCAACGTGGGACTTCGTCAGCGCAGAAGAGGCTATCAACGTGGGACTTCGTCAACGCAGAAGAGGCTATCAACGTGGGACTTCGTGGACGCAGAAGAGACTACCAATGTCGGACTTCGTCGACGGCAACGTGGGACTTCGTGGACGCAGAAGAGACTACCAATGTCGGACTTCGTCGACGCAGAAGAAGGGACTACCAACGTCGGACATCGTAGATGCAGAAGATGCTATCAACGCGGGACTTCGTGGATGCAGAAGAGGCTATCAACGCGGGACTTCGTGGATGCAGAAGAGGCTATCAACGCGGGACTTCGTGGATGCAGAAGAGGCTATCAACGCGGGACTTCGTGGATGCAGAAGAAGACAGAAGAGGATATCAACACCGAAGACTTACGGAACGTATCAACGCGGGACTTCGTGGATGCAGAAGAGGCTACCAACGTCGGACATCGTGGACGCAAAAGAAGACAGAAGAGGATATCAACACCGAAGACTTACGGAACGTGGATGAAGAGACTTCGTTAGACGTAGATGAGGGATATCACCGAGGGACGCTGTGGAATATGGAGGGAACAGTATCGTCATGAAACTTCGGAAGTTTGATTACACTTCCGAAACTTCGCGGGACATCATCGAGGGACTTCGTGGGACGTAGAAGAATACGCATCATCCCAGGACTTGGCGCAACATAGAAGAATGTGGACATCATCGTGGGACTTCGCGGGACGTAGAAGAATGGGCATCATCGCGGGACTTCGTGGAACATGGAAAAAAATCTTCACTAAATTTCACTGGACGTAGAAAAATAGAACATCCAGGAGATTTCAGGTTTTTCTCAAGAAGGTTTTCTTTGATGAAGTACACTCAAACTGACATGGGCTTTCTCTAAATCTGAGGTAGTCGTCCCTCTGCTGACTTTTACAAGTCTTGTTAATAATTTCTTACTGTTGGTGTTTTCTTCAAAATATTCGTTGTGGAAAGACCATGTTGGGACTGTTAGAAGGAGAAGGAGGAGGATATTTAAGTTTCAGGTCCCGATTGAGGAAGTTGAGAACATGGTGGGACCTACGATATTTATGTACAGCTGACTAGTAGGAATATTTCGTTGTTGAGCGAAGAAAGTTCAGCACTTTTTGGTACCAGATTGGTGTACCATCAGACGAAGTATCATCCTGTCCTCTCGTGTAAGGTAGGAAAGAAGGATATCGTACAATTTCTTGTCGTTTACAATTCAAGAAATCTTGCATAGTGGTACTGATAGGGGCTATCAATAACGATCGTAGAAAAGCCTGGTTGCACCAACTGGCTCTTCAGGACCTCCTTCCATTCCATTGGGTTTGCATCTATTGTCCATCACTCGATTGGACCAGTTTAAAATCTATTAGTGTCTAACGATTGAGGAAAAAACTCTCCCTCTATTTCTAAAAAGAAGGTAAGGCCATATACCCAACAACGTGGTACGTTGTTCCAGGCACTCGAGAGGCAACTGAAAGACTTCCTATAAACTAAAAGTAAGGATTCGTAATTGACACTGATAAAAGAGGGAGAGAGAGAAGTTTTATAAAACGTAATTCAATGTAACCTTGGAAATTACATATATGAAAATGTAAGAAAGAAACTCGACTGTGATAATAAAATTTGGTATAAGAAAAAATCATTTGTATTAATATTTAAAAGATAAGTGAAATATGTAAATTATTATTAACAAAATTTAAATAAACGTTTCAACCTTATGAGTCAATACCATTCATTTTAGTTAAACCACAGCTGACGTATAGGATAGTACTTGGCATCTAATGTGTTTTTATATGCAACGTTCTGAAATACCGATTGTGTAAAAAATCAGAGTTCTTGTTATGCCTTTTACGATATAAAGCGGTCGAGTTTAGGAATTACGTACAATCCAAACATCAACGATGGGTAAAATTGACAGATGTTTAAAATCCTCTTTTATTAAATTTGCATATAAAGATACATATGTATATATATTACATTGCGCGGATTGCTTACGATCTTCTGACAGCAGTAGAATAAGCGCATATGATGAATTATCTACTAATAAACAATTACCTTACGTTTTTATTTGTAATTTCATAGTTACGTTTAATTCCAATTCTAACCATTGCTTTTGTAATCTTATTCTACATTGAATCGGTAACGTTGGTAGCGACACGAAAATGGTAAGGGTTTTCTCGGTCGTAAAACCGCGGACAAAAAGTCCCATAAGATGCACGGTCTATCCTATACGATGTTATAATAAATAGTTGCACTTCTTTAGTCTTCCTGATATCCGCGTCCTTTCTTCGATTTCTACGGTCTCCTGGAAGATCCACCTAAGTCAAATGGTTAGACAAGGAAAGAAATAGGGGTAGACAAGGATAGCTATATTGACGGGTGTTAGACAAGGATAGCAATATTGACGAGTGTTGGACAAGGAAAGCGAATAGGGGTAGACAAGGATAGAAGAGTGACGGTGACGCCATCTTGTTTTTGGTGACGCGAGCTACAACTTTTTAATAGGAACACAGAATGTCAACAGAGGTATTAGACAAGGAACGCACTACTGTGCAAGAAGGATAGAGAGAAACGTTTCCTATTGGTCCGCGTATATCTAAGCTCCACCTTCTGATGGCGGCCAGGTCACCATTAAGTCGGCCAGGGAAAAATCATTAATAACTCGATAATTACGATAATTCTGTGAACTTTTAGAATTGAAGAATAAAGTGTAGACCTTTAGAAACTTTCTCATATAGATTTTAATGCGCTAAACCCTTTCAATAATTAGTTATTAACAATTTTAGTACGTGTTATCGGGAACGATACCGCATAAATTTTCGGTTTTTCAATAATTCCGTAGTTTTCTAATAAATTCGCATGCAACTAACTGTATGCGTCTGAAAGGTAATTCCCTTAGCTCCATTCTTATATAATTTTTATTAACATATTCGGTTTAGTTTAGGAGTTATTAAACATTATTTGGGAAAGTATTGCACCGGTCGCATTCAATCGCAACAGGTTTTCGTTATTTCAAAGGAAATACGTCATTAATTATGCACTTTGAAGCACGTAGAATGTAGAATGGACTTTTATTTATATTCTGCAATTAGTTTGATAACCGTAAGTGGTGTGGTTTATTAGATATTAGCAATTATTTGTAGTAGTCGACTATAGACGTTTACGATGAATAGGAGACTCTCAGAGTATGAAAATAATAAACTATACCGAGTATGTTAATAAAAATTATATGTGAATGTAGCTAAAGGAATTGCCTTTCAGATGCAGATAATTAGTTGCATGAGAATTTAGGAAAAAGCTATGAAATTATTGAAAAACCGTAAAGGTGTGCGGTATCGTTCCCGACATCATGTAATAAATTGTTAATAACTAATTATCGAATGGGTCTACTACGTTAAGATTTATATGTGAAAGTTTCTGAAGGTCCGTACTTCATTCTTTAATATAAAAAGTTCACAAATTTGTCGTAAATAATGTGTTACTAAATATTATTTGAGTTTGTACTACTCTCGTCGTATTATAGCGTAAAGGATTTCCGTCATTTTCACGAATATTCATGATTAATTTTACACTTTCAAGCATGCAAAATACAGTACAGACCTTTGCCTATATTCTCCAATTATTTTTAAGTGCGTACGTGATGTGCTTTATGAGATATTAGCAATTGTTTGCAAGAGTTGACTATACTCGAATACGATGAATAGAAGACTCTCTCATATAATATTTAATAACTTTTAAGCTACAAGAGTTACATTAATAAAAATTATATGTGAACGTAGCTAAAGGAGTTGCCTTTCAGACGCGTATAGTTAGTTGTATGGAAATTCAGCAAAAACCTATGAAATTATTGAAAAACCATAAAGATACATGACGGTATGCGGTATCGTTCCCGACATCACGTACTAAAATTGTTAATAACTAATTATCGAACGGGTCTAGTGTACTAAAAACTATATGAGAATGTTGCTGAAGGTTCACACTTTATTCTTCAACTCTAAAAGTTCACAGAATCACCGTAATTATTGAATTTTTAATGATTCTTCCCTGGCCGACTTGATGTAGCCCGTGGTTGATGGAGCTTAGTTGTCCGCCAGCCAATAGGAAACGTTTTCTCTCTATCCTTGTCGCACACTAGTGCTTTCCTTGTCTAATACCTCTGTTTATATTCTGTGTTCCTATTAAAAATCGTAGTTCGCGTCACCAAACACGAGATAGTGATACTGTTGCTTTTGAAATTTTCTGTTAATGTTCATCCATGTACCTTTCCTTGTATAACTCATTACTCTAATGCTATCCTTGTCTAACCGTATTCCTTTCCTTGTCATACTTATTTCTGTATTGCTAAATACTTAAGTACATAGTAACTGGACGAGTTATTCTTCGTAATAAACACGGCTAAATTAGGGGTCTTCTCAGCCTCAGCGTCGTAGACACAAAGTCCGATAAGGTGTATCCTGTACGTTGTCTGTGGTAATAGGTAAAACTATTTAAACCTTGAATTTACACGGATAACCAGACATGGGAAAAACATTGAAATAAATAATTTTTTTAATAAAAGTATATTCAAATAAGGAATCAATTTTTAATAATATAATAGTTTATTGGACTTATTATTGTACAACTATTATGGATAATAAAGAATTGAATAAACACTAAAGTTTTAATCTTTTTATGTCCTCTGAGCGGAAGTCTATTCTTAAGGATGCGATACGTCGAACTTCAGCAGATGTTAGTCTCCATGCTATTGCATCTGCACCACAATAATCAGCTAATTCTTCTACCTTTTCCACACTTAGTATAGTAGCTATTTGCGTTAATCGTGCAAATTTATCACGTACAGACCAAGAAGTAACAGCAGCTAGGTAACTTGCTAATGACCTTATTTCTTTATCAAGGATGAGACCTCCTGCCTAAATAATTGAAATTGATCGTAAGAAAAACATATGATATAAAATGCAATTGTACAATATACTTACTCTGTTAAAAGTAGACTTCAATACAACTTTTTCTAAACGAGCTGTAACTTCAGCGGTAAGAAGACCAATTAAAGCATCGTAATTAGATATCGTTAAACTTCCTTTAAAGCTCTGCAGCAAACCTTCTAAATGCATAATCAAAGTTTGTACGAAAGGTTCTTCCGTTTCGTATCTTAATAGATCGTCCTAGAAATATTCATAGTTTGTTATTACAGTTCCATAAAGCTCGTTTCCATTTCACGTAGTATTTACATCATAACGATTTTATTTCAATATTTAGTTTACCTCGTTCACATGATGATCCACAGATAAAAACGCATCGACCCATGGAGTGACTCTTGGTTTAACGGCACTTACTCGCAATTGTTCTAATCCATAATCTGTAACTGCTCGTAAAATCGACATAACGCCTTTCAAACCAGATAAGCAACTGTCGATTTTACCCCTATCTTTATTTTGCATATTGGGAAATGCGGCATCTATTTCGGTACTAAGGCTTTTACATAGCGTTTCCACGTACTCGATACTTACGTCAGTATTATTTAAATATGCCTATGTAACAAATACATCAAATAAATTAATGCATTAAATATTTCATGCTTTGAAGCTTGTAACTAATTTTACCAAAAACATCAGACGGGCGAGTTCCGAGTCTGATGTTTGTAAACGACCATGCTGTATACTTGTTTGAAGAGCACTGTAAGCTTGGGCCAAATCTAAATATCCTGCTGGGTAACCTTGTCGTAATCGATTTCGTAATCTATTTGCAAATTCTCCTTCTAATATTCCACAAGCCATATTAACTACAGCACAGACACCATCTATGCTCCAACTTGACATAGAACGCCTATGTATGTGAATTTTGTAAAATTCATATAATAAATATATATGTATACTTCCATTGTATGGGATGTGTAATAATCTTTCCAATACCTTATACATTTCTGTACTATGAAGAAAACATCATCAACCATACTAGATGTTTGTTGATCTTGGTCTAAGGTATCCATTCCCAATGCCTTATTTACGCTCTCTTCGAGAAAATATCTTTCCAATGCAAGATAAGCACCCAAAAGTTCTTGCATACCACGTGCTAAATCAGAGTTATTGATAACATTGTCAAATTCGTTTATTAAGTCTTTGTATTGGGTATCATTTGTTGCACTAATTTCTATATCAGTTTTAACCCTTCTTTTTAAGAATCTAATATATAGCTCCGCCCGTGAGTGCATTATAGTAATTTCTCCCAATAACAAATCAAATTCTTTAGGATCTGCCCTTTCAGAACTTGGTTTTCGTAGATGATCATTTACCATCTGTATTTTTTTAGATATGCATCTATGCTTCATAAATTCCGCAATAATCTTTTTAACTTGCCTATTTAGGAAATGAATAATAATAAAAGTAGTTTAGAATATTATTTTTAAAGTTATACATGATTTACCTATCACATTCCTTTTGCAAAATAGAAATTGTCATTAACAGTCTTCCAGGACCATAATATGTTTCAATTATTGGCTGGTGTATTTCTACAATACGAGCAATTCCCTCAAATAATAATGTCATAGTGTCAGCAAAAATAACTGGTGCCCTTTTGTCGTTACTTTTAATTTCCAAGGCTGCCTTTAAGTTTTTCTGTGCTGTCTCCTGTAACTAATGTTAGAAATACAGAGTTATATGAAGTATGTAATGTTTAGAAAACTATGAAATTTATTACCTTTGTACATAAATAGCTGCAAAACTTTTTAAGCCCTTCAATGTGCATTCCTAATAAAGGAAATATTTTAAAAAATCTTTCAACAGATGCAAGGTCTTCTGATTTCACTGCTTCATCAAACTTGTGTGTAACAACAGTTCTAAGTTGTAAAGCAGCTTGTTGTAAAGTAATTAAAGAACTACTAATACTAGTATGATCCATTAAAATATCTTCAGCTGTTCTTTCTAATAATTGTTGATCCATTGATAAATAACGATGAACATGTGCTGCACCTTGCTCATAATCTTCATTACGCAATGCCATAGCTACACCTTCGCTGCATAATTGTAAATCAAGAATGTCATTCACACGTCTTTGGCATTCATATACTCTGCTCTATGGAGTAACATAATATGTCAATGATAGTTTGCTGTATAATGAACAAATAAATAGTAAAGTTAATATTATATTTCAACTTACCCTTGCTAAATCCAATTGTCTCACTTTAGCACTTACATTTTCTGCTAATTCATTAGTACATGCAATCATATTACAAAACCTTTCTCCTTCTGTTCGTATTACAGTGACATTGGGTAACACCTTGCAAATATTTTGTAATTTTGCTTCTATGTGACATTGCCTTGAAAGTATATTTTCTAGATTTTTTTCTATTTTAATCTGCAATGAAATAATTATTCCTCAAGCAACTGGAAAATGTATTTATATTTATCATAGAAAATTTATTTTAAAAAGATACAAAACCTCGTCTTCTGTTAATTTATGTAGTATCTGCGACAAATTGTGTTGATTCATAGGTAAATCCATAATATGCATTGTACAAAATATCGTAGATGAAAATAAAGATATAACACGAAAGTTTTTTAAACGTTTTCCAGGCAGATCGCTAGATTCGGAAATGTATGCGAGGTGAAATGTCTTACATGACAAATAGTAGTAAATGCAAAATTATTTAATCCTATTAACATAAGTAAACATTTATACTAATGTGTTCAGGGAACACATCGAGATTTCTGTAAGCAATGATTATAAAATGCAATGGTAGTGGATCGTTTGAACGTATTTTATTTCTTAGCTATATGATAACTTTTTGATTAAATAAGAAAATAAACATAATAGGAGGCATATATTTTTATCATATGTCCATTGTTTTAAATCTTCTGGTTAGGTATGTTCGAAATTTTAATGTAATTATAGGAAATATTAACAAATGAAAATGTTGCGTATTAATGACGTAATTGGGAAATAATTTTTTTCTAATTCTAAAGAATTTTGGTAAATAGTTCAATTTCCAATTGGTATTTTTCTTACGATACGAAGACAGAATTAAACGAATAAAAATTTCGATCAGTGATATTCATGAATATCAGTATAAATGAAAATTCACCAATGACAACGCCTCTAAGGTGTTTTACACATGCATTGGAACGTCCCACGCATCGCGCGTGGTTTCTGTAGGAAGTTGAGTTCTTTTCGCGCATCTTACGCGTTTTCCTGAAGGAAAATGGCTACCAGCTGTCATTTAATCGAAAAGTGTAGCTTGTAAAGTGATATAGGATTTTGTAAAATATCGTCCAACGTTTAAAAGACCGTCTGGCGCGATGCAATTACATAACGTTGAATTCGTTTAGTAGATCGACGCCACTTTCCATCTACATGCGGAACCCGTGAAACCTTCCACAGTGCCATGAAATTCTATTCCGCTCTACTGTTTACAGTTTTTATTTTTCGCGAAACGTATCAAGACTAACGTGTTAACGTTACTTCTACGTTTTTTAAATAATTTTATCACTTCAACAATCACTTAACGATCGTTGCTGACAATTTAACAGTGCTACGTATTAAAGGCTACAAATTTTTTTACCTTATTCACATTATTATTTTTGGATCACATTAATTACAAATACGGTAAATTATTGTTTAAAGATGTTAAACATAATAATTGCAAAGTACGATAGGATTTATTTTTTATCTGCATCTTCTATAGACAGTGCTTATTATGATAATCTGTTTCATGGATGTTATTAATATTTTTTCAAACATTTGAGCAAAATTTCTGTATTATTTCAGAAAAGCAGCATGGGTTCGAGTCAACAATTTTCTCTTAGATGGAACAATTACTTGAAACACATTACTTGTGCTTTTGACACATTAAGAACAGAAGAAGATCTTGTTGATGTGACTTTAAGTTGCGAGGGAAAAAGAATAAGAGCACATAAAATGCTTTTATCTGCATGTAGCACATATTTCAGAGATTTATTTAAAGTGAGTTAAAATATAAAATTAAACAATTGTATGTTTACATGCAATAATATTGTATGTTTGAAAATGAATAATAATTATTTTATTGTAGGAAAATCCTTGTCAACATCCTGTTATAATTTTTCGTAATGTAAAATTTGATGATTTGGCTGCATTAGTTGATTTTATGTACCAAGGTGAAGTAAACGTGGTTCAAGAACAATTAGCTAGCTTTTTAACAACTGCTGAATTACTAGCCGTTCAGGGTCTTACCGATGGTACAGGAAAAGATAACGATAGTTTGGTCGAGGTATGTTTTTCAAAATTGTTATGCTTGAAAAGTGAAAATGAAAAAACGAACATGACAATACATGGCATTGTTTTAATCTATGTTTCAGGATGACATAGAAATTCCCAATGAACCTGAAATCCAACTTCAGAATGCTTCTAGTAAATCAACAACAGATAACAAGAGAAATAAGTCACCTTCTTCTCCAATGCCTTTTCACGCTGTTGATCTACAACCTGATGCTCCACCGAGCAAAAGACGAAAATGTAGAGAAAATGCAAATACTAATGTAGAAAAGGCTCTAGGTAATGCCTTAACTACAAAAGATTCTGAAAATAAAGCATCAGAAAATCAGACGCCGACTGGATCGGATCCTGTTGAAATAATTCCTCTTATGCCGAATTTGAAATTGGAAATGCCTGAATATTTAGTACAAGATGGAAGTAGCTGTAGTTACGAAGAACAAAGTTTAGGAGACAGTTCGCTAAATAAAATTGGTATAGAAGATACATCATCCAATACTCCCGACCATGATCAGAAACCTGATATCACTCAAACATTTTATTCGAGTAATCAATCTACTTCAGATAGCTTGGATCTTAAACATCAAGGAACAGATGTTGGTAAGATCTCCATTAATACTTGAATAATATAACAATTTTTACTTCAAATGCATTGAGAGATATGTTGTATAATTTTGTCTTTTAATTAGGACACTTGCTTTCAAAACCTAGTACTTCTGGAGAAAGGTTAACACAAGAAGCAGTACAGGGTAAGTGTTTTCTAATTAGCATTTACCTTACCTTGTTATAACACGCGACTCAATGTTTTGCCATATCTTTCTATAATTCTTTCGAACAAACTATCGCAACTATTATCAGGATTGTAATGAAAATTTATCATCGATAAAACGCACATAATGCAATTATTACATCTGCTTGGTATATTTTTTTGAGTGATTCAATTTTAATCGATATATTTGACGTTGAAGATTATCTTAGCTGCCTTAAAGATTAGCGATTAAAGATTATTTTGGCCTTAAATGTGCTTTTTATACGAAAGAAATGGCATTGCAGATTGATTTTAAGTTATGTACCCATATATTGCTCGCGCAAATGTTAATGGATGCTATATCGATCGATGTTGAAAAAAATCTCTAAAAAATTTAACTGTTTTATAATATACATCGCGTTTACGAAGTCGTTCGAATATGGGTACAAAACAGTTTTCATGCATATTTTTATATATAACTTTTATTAACTTCAAGTTATCTGTATCGAAGTTCAATGATAAAATTATGCAGACTAGGAGGGGAATTAATTTTGTTACATAACTTGAGGGGAAAGATGCGTGATTTTCTCATAATACAAATTGTATAAAAATTCAGTAGTGTATACAGCTTTTGTACTATTCTTATACACACATAATTTATTTACAAGACATTAACAAAAGTAAAGGCATTGATTTATTATCAATTCACGATGAACAGATTTTAAAGAAGCAACAAAAATTTCAATTGTTACTTGTAAATTCGATTGGATGAGAAAAGGAGGAAGTAGAAATTTAAAAAACAAAAAAAAACAAAGGAAGATATTAGGTTTTGAATTTTATATACCTAATATACTTTTCACAATATCTGTTTCATTTGACAATTTTTTATTCTGGTAAAAAAAAAAAAAAAAAAACACATTAGGATCGGGTTAACTTAAACGATCGTGTAGTAAAACATTGATACAAATGTCTTATAAGTATTTCGAAGAGATGCATTTTCTATTGTGAAAGAATGTTACTTTATTTCTATTAATCATTTAATTGTACTATAGTATACAGTATGCATGGTTTTTGGATATAAATGTATGGCATAGGCACTCGGGTGTAGGTTGAACTGTAGATACTTAGTAAGCATTGCCAAGTGCTGTATGTGTGCCGACAATCATCAACATTCCCTTAATAACTCGTACAAAGCCACCACTACGTTCCTTATGCGCACTAACTGTAAGCATATTTCTGTGTATACACTAAAATACCTTTCAACGCTGGTATGAGGTAACTTCTTTGTATCTGTAGAACTTCACAGGACACGCACGTACGTGTGTGAAACAAGTATCACACACGTCGATTTACTTGCATGCAAAGTTAATCTTAAAATTGCTAGAAACTCTTTTACGCGAATCTATAACATCGAACGAGAATCTCCAAGAATTGTGTTCGAAATACAGTGGAAAATAGATTCAACGGTTGAATTATTTATTTCCTGTTTGGTTGATCATTCGATCCGCGTTAGCATTTAAGATTAACTTGCAAATTCTTTGTTTATTAAAAAACGAACAAAAAAAAAAAAATGGAAAAGAAAAAGAAAAAATTTCGTAGCTTTGCAAAACAACTAATTTGAAGTAGCAATGGTGGTGGTGCTGGCGATAATGGCATGTAAACGATCCTTTTCCGTATCCGAATATCTTATTACTTATTCTTTCTTTTTATATAATGTGTCGTAAACTTGTGAAAAATCAATATGGGTGCGTGGGAATCCGATATCTAGGTCGAATCAATAAGCCTTTAGAACCCGATAGAAATGAAAGCATTACGTTCACTTTATCGAACGTTGAACTACATTTTTCGGTAAATTTCAATTTACCTACATATATAGAGGAACATCGGATATATAAATTATTGCGACGCGACTTTTCCGAACACAAGAAAATTCCACTGTATTGGTAAAAAAATATTCTTTAACGCGACCCGATCCGAAATACATATACATTTTGGCCTGTTTCGAAAGGTAATTTCGGCAGGTAGGTAAGCAGAACATATTTTACGTTTATCGTCTGATCGTTAAAAGCAGGAACATGAATTATTCGAATAAGCGCGAATCCTATCGTGTAGAAAGTTCACCGATAGTTGCTCTCTTGCGTACGGATAGTATTGAAAAACAGGCTTTCTAGAAGAATTTTTTTCACGAAAAAAAAAAAAAAAAAAAAAAAAAAAAAAAAAAAAAAAAGTACCGTTCGAAAACTGTAAATCGAAGAGAGGAAATGATAGAATCGTGTGCAACCCATGTAACTTTTCCAGGCGTGAAATAACCATGTAAATAACGATTTATACGATACAGGAGTTGATGTCTACTTGTACGTTATTAACGCGAGGAAGAGCTATTAAACAGACGCTCGATTACAAGTGGTGTGCGCGTGTGCGTGTGAGTGTGCGTGTGTGTGTGCTCGCGCGCGCTCCCGTGCGCGTGGAATTACTCTCCTTTGCTCGCTTGTACGCGCTAAAGGTATTATAATTCAGCGTGAGGCGATATAAAAGTTGAATCGTATGCAGACGCATCGTTCTCCAGCAAATTGACGATAACATGCCGTATCGAAGAAGTCCTTCTACCAAGACGTCGAATCGTCGGTCAGATCGATCTTCGTGAAAACTCGGAAAGTACCGAAGCAACACGATCGTCGTTTTTATCGGGATGTTGACGTTGCTTTGTGTGCCGGGGGAAAAAAATAAATAAGTAAATAAATAAATGACGAGGCACGTTTCATCTTTATCTGCTTTCGAATCTGTAAAAGAACGTATCGAAGCGCAGACGGCGAACGATAGGAAGAATATTTCCGAGACGATCAGCAGCAGAGGCACGTATCGAAGTTAAAACTGTAAAAAGTAAAGTAGAAAAAAAAAAAAAGAAGTTTAAACGAACGGTGTTTTTCGATGATCGAAGACAGAGACTGACAGAAAGAAAGACGATTGATTCATCGAGGACGACTCGGTTTTCGCATCGGAAGGAGAAGCATTCGCGATATATCTACTCTAACATATGTATAATATATGTAAAATGTGTAATATGATGCTCGTACAAGTGCATCATAGTTGCCAGGCTGCGTTTTATATGGAGAAACGAAAGCAGGAGGAGGAGAGGTAGGGGTGAGGGAGGGTGGGGTGATAGGGAGAAGGAGAGAATGTTTGAAAGAGATTAACAACTAAAGATTTCGTATGTACATCGTGTGTACTTACATACGACCGACCGAAAGACCGAGAAGAGAAACGGAAGGAGAAGAAAAGAAATGGGTGATGGAGAAATTCGGCTAGCACCTGGCAATGCTACATTTCCACCTAAAATACACGCATACACGTACGGAAAATCTATATCGCGGGTATTGGTATTGCTGATACTCTAGACTGGCTTTCACGGCTACGGGATTGGTTGGTGCTGGGATTGGTCGTTAAAGAGATTTGTTTACTACTAATGGTTGCCTGCATGTGCACATATACTTAAGAATTGACTAACCGAAGTGTTTGGCCAATGTGTTTTCTTCAGGAGGGATTACGTACGTATCTGGTCAGCCGCATAGTCTCAGCAAAGCAAACGGCCACGGAAAAGTATGTGTACACTGCAAGCAGCGCGGAATGGTCACATCACGTGGAAAGCTCAGGCAGACGCGCTTCAAATGTTGGCCCTGCAATGCCTGTTTGTGCCGCTGGCCATGTTTCGTCGATTTTCACAAAATGCGCGCCATCCCGCACATCCCGCCCCCATAGCACCAACTCGCCCCCTCCGACCGCCCTCAGTTAATATCGTTACTCGACTAATCACGCCCTGTGCTTTTCGACTTTCTCTGTGTTACATCCGCGAAAAGGGATAACGAGACGAATGGATAGTAAAAACGAACAAAAAGACAACAGGGGAGGGGCAAGACGAGAAAGGGAGAAAGAATGAGAGGAAGAGCGAGAGAGAGTGTGTGTGTGTGTGTGAGAGAGAGAGTGAGAGAGAGAGAGAGAGAGAGCGAGAGAAGGGAAGGGAGAAAGTCGTATTTCGGTGATTTCTGTATGCTTGTTCGTTTGTTGCAAAATGTCCGACTATTTTCTTTTCTCTCTTTTTTTTTCTCTTCTGTTTCTTGATGCGATCGCGAATAATTTTACTGCCCTGCTTTCGTACATCTGCTCTCCACGTTTTTCTTTTATCGACCGATAATCCCACTCGTGTACCTTGTGATCCTCGGATTTATTGCGCGAGATTGTTGAGTGCGATGTACGTTCCGCGTGTTCTCGATGCGGATGCGTGATCATTCTTCGCGTTATCTTTCGTGTAGCTCATTTAGCTGATCGTTTCATTCCGTCGCCTTTTTTTCTTTTCTCTCTCTCTTACCTTTTTTTAATGTAAAGTATTTCAGAGAATATTTTATATATCGTGTATCTGTTTTTTGGTCCTTCGATAATTGACTGTTGCTGTGATAGCAACGGTGTATCTTCGTTCTCGTTGGAAAACGTATCGTACTCTGAACACGATCTTGCGCTGTTACCGCGTGGTGATAGCAACGGTGTATCTTCGTTCTCGTTGGAAAACGTATCGTACTCTGAACACGATCTTGCGTCCCGTTGCAAGTGTCGTTCACCTATCAACTGTTTGTCTTTTAGCGTCACGTTAACTGCCAACTTAGAGTTTATTTATAATTCGGGTTAGTTGTAAATTATCGGTTAGCTGATATCATCATCCAGCAACGGATGCTCCTTCGACCGTTTGTATTTTATATTTGGTAAGTTGGTCGCGTACCGACGGTTTTATCGATTAATATGCACACGCTAGAGTAATAGAAGGATCGCGTTATTTAACTTAATCTTGACTCTATACATAAGACTGCGCGACGAGGTAAACTCGTTATCGATTTCATATTTTTATACGACAATGTTCTACGACTCTCTTTGTCAAGAGTACTTACAATTAGATAGGAATACTCGGCACCTTCGTCCGAGTGGCGATACCTATTTGGTCCTGTCTTGTATAAG